TGAGACTCTGTCTCAGGGGAAAAGAAAGGAAAGAATTAGCTTATCTATTTCTCCTATTAAAGCCACTGGAATTACAATAGAAATTATATTGAATGTGTAGGTCATTTAGTGAGAATGGGCATCGTAACAGTATTGATTCTGAGTCTGCGAATTCATGATCATGATATACCCCTTCATTAATAGATATTCTTAATTTTTCTCAGTAATGTAGAGGTCTTGTACAACTTTCAATAGTTTTATTCTCACATATTTGATGTTTTGTGATAGTGTTTTAAATGGTATATACTTAACATTTTCATTTTCTATTTGTTGCTAATATATAGAAATATGTATTTTTCTGTATTGACCAGGTACTGTGTGAAATTGCTAAATCACTAAATAGTTCTAGTCTTTGTAAGAGTTCATAGATTTCATACATCTATAATCATGTCATATGCCAAAGAATGAGAGTTTTACCTACTCTTTTTTGATCACTGAGCCTTTCTTTCTTTTTCTTCACTTAATGCACTGCTTAGGACCTGTAGTACGATGTTCTATAGGAGTGGTAAATGCAAATACCCTTGCCTTGTTCTTAGGGGAATAGAGTTTGTTTCACCATTAGATACGATGTTAGCTACATGTTTTTCATAGTTATCTTTTATCAGTTTGGGGAAGTTCCCTTCTATTAATATTCCTAGTTTGTGAAGAGTTTTTATCATGTTGAGTTTTGTCAGAGGCTTTTCTGCTTTTGAAATGTTCTTCAGATTTCCTGTTTTAATCTTTTTATGTGGAATAGTACATAAATTATTTTTGAGTGGAAAACCATAACTTGTATGTTGAAGTTGATTTGCTGGAGGGTTTTGTTTGTTTTTTAAGGATTTTTTTTTATTTCTGTGTTCATGAGGGATTTGGGTCTATAGTTTTGTATTGATGTGAAATTGAAGTGTGTTGGTGTTATAAAATAAGTTGAGGACTGTTCCTCTTCTCTTTTCTGAAAGAACTGTGTTGGATTGGTATTATTTTATCTTTAAATTTTTGACAGAATTCACTGGTGAATTCTGGAGTAGGATTTCTGAAATGTGACTGGAATTTTCTTTGTGTGATCCTTTTATTGTAGTTTAACTTTTCTAGCATATATGGGATTACTTAGCTTTTCTGTTTCTTGTTTCAAGTTTAATCATATATATCTTCAAGGAATTTGTCCATTCATCTAAGTTATTGATTTATTTGGTGTAAAGGTTTCATAGTATTTCTGTATTAACATAATGATGTCTGTGGGATCTGTAAGTCTCTCCATTCTTGATGTAGGTAATTCATGATTTATCTTTATTTTGATCTGTCTTGTTAGGGCTTATCAATTTCATTATTTTTTAAAAGAGATTTTTTTTCTATTTTCTGTCACTTTCTATTTGATTTCTGCCATTTGTTTTTAATAATTTTCTGTTTTCAGTTTGATTTACTTTTAGTTTTCTAGCTTCTAGAAGTGGGAGCTTAGGTTAGGGATCAGTGAACTTTTTCTTAAATATTTAAGATAAATATTTTAGGTTTTGCAGACTATATTGTCTCTGTTGCAACTACTACTCACCTCTGCCATTGTAGACAATATATAAATGAATCAGCATGACTTTGGACATTGGTACAGTACTCCCTCCTTATCTGTGGTTTTTTTTTTTTTACTTTTT